CATTGCATGAAATGCGTGGTCATAAACTATTATTATGAGGACAGGCATCCTGAGAACTTCAGATTTACCCACAGAGTCTAAGCGTGTATATCACATGTTCGTTCGAATGCAGGGAAACATCCTAGCATCTCACGCTTATCAGCTCAAAACCATCCGCAAAGAAGATCAGCATTTTACATCTTGTGTTAAATGAAAGTGTTTGTAAGTGCGAGATAACATCCTTAGACACATTTCCTTTCTTGTGACTAAGCAGTCACAGGCGTATAAAAGATGGAAAATTGACAGATTTGAGCATGAAAACGTATCATACCCTGAAGAGTTGCTCTAGCACACAGAGTAAAAAAAAAATACTGTGAATTTTCAGCATGGAGCTAAAAACAGGTAAGTTAAATATGCCATTTTTAAGTAAGAACTATAGTTTAACTTTCTGAGATTCACTGTGTTTGCTGTGCATGGAATTTTATGCCTGACATTAACCAGTGTACTTTTCTTTTTAGGACTTCTGATTTGGTGGATTTTAATGATGATCCAGGCGATGACATGCAGACCGGCAAATAGATGTAATTTTATAGAACGCATCAATTACACAAAGACCAAAATGGAAGATCTATTGAACAAATTCGTAAGTATCAATCTGTTTCTGTATTTGGTGAAAAAACAGATGCGATCAAAATGCTTATGAGACACTGTAAAGATATTTAGAATGAGTTATTAGCCGTATAAAATGATTTTAAAGATCTTTTACAAGAAAATACTGATCAGTCTTTTTACTTTAACATTTCACGTTTAATGAAATGCATTACTTGCCTTTAGCTTTGTGAAATTTACATGAAAATTGTTTAAAGTAGCTGTTTTCAAGCCACAGTTAACAGTGTCTGACTGTCACTGCTTCACATATAATATCTAAACCAACAAATAATGCTCAATATTTGTTCAGTGACTATTTACCAATTGGTCTCAAGGTGATTTTTTAATTTTTTTAACTGGACATATGAATGCAGAGTTTGCCACTCAGTTTCATATTTAGGTATCTAATGCAGTGACTTTCATTATAAGTCGGATTTATTGCCCAAATGCTTTATGGTGCCACTGTTATGTTTTAGATGTCTGTTATTATTATTATTGGTGTAAGTTTTAAATTGGGAGTAAATTAAATGTGAGATTTTGAAGTTGAAGTCTTTATTTACAAATTTAAAAATTATTTTTTACAGTGTATTGTGACAATAATAATTATAGTATGGACTTACCATAATTGTACAATCATAGTAAGTTACAATCATGTTTAACATTTTAGCTGATTAGTGAAAAAAAATATTTAAGTGACAAGACATTTATTTTTATAAGCGTCCTTTTAATATCATGCTTTTACACTGATGATGATGATGATAAACACCAAAATGTATAAGTAGCTGTTAATGTCACAATAAATCACAATACAAATATACAACAATATGCATCATGCATCACCCAAAAATCAAAGTTTAGAAATATTTAATGTAGGCTTTTAGAATAAGAGAATCATATGGACTGATCAACGCACACACAAAGAGCACATCAAATATTTGAGCTTTCATGTTTAATAACAATTCCAATTAATACATTCAAATAAAATATATGATTTAATAAAATACAATATTTATGTTGTCAGGACAGAGTGCAAGCATGTGGCTAACAATATTCTGTATTTTCATCTATGCAGAATCATGAATATTTCTGTTCTGGTTAATATGTCTTAGAAGTAATAAGTAAAAAAAATAATTGTACAGCCTGTAGCTCAAACAGTAGAACATGTGTACCTTGAATGGATAAAAGTATCTGCCAAATTTAAAATTTGGTCTTGTTTAAAGTATTCTGCAAGTATCGTATCGTGAGATCAGTATCGTGTATTGAACAAAATTGTGGCAATGTATTGCTATGTCTAGTAGCTCTCAGAAATAAATTCTCTCTAGAGTTCATAATTATTTCTCGATCATTACATGACATTTGATTTCAAACTATGATTTCACAGGAAACAGCCGAGTTTGTAAATGAAATGTTAATGCGTGAACCATCTCTCGCTCTCTTTCTCTTCAGCTCTCAGAAAACGGAAATAATATTAGGCCATGGCCGAAACCAATCTCAGAACTTCACTTGAAGGATTTGTCCCATGAAGAGAAAATGCAGAAAGCTCAGTGTGGACTTCACTTCATGCAGAAAGCTCTTCAGTTGATACATCAACACCAAAGTGAGCTACATGATAGCACGAATCCCGTTCTTGAAGAAATAAGAAAAGTTGTACATTCTCTGTTAGAGCATACCAAGCACTGTGTTGCAGAGCATATAGGTAATTGCACAAACATACCAGAGCCTGACTTCCGGTTTAAAGAGACATATAAGAGAAAACAGTGGGGCCGCACTGTTCTTAAGACCTCTGTAGACTTTCTGGATGAGCTGGTAAAAATCCAACATCATGCTTCAAGCAAACGACCCAAACCGAAACATGCTTGACACCAAAGAAATAATGCATTTCATTTACAGCTAGTCCTTATTTTTTGTCAACTGCACTTTTTCGTTTATGAAATTAATGATGATTTTGCAGTATGTTCTCATGTTAATTTTTCCAACAATTTTTTCATATTTATTTGTAACACATATATTTTTGCACATTTCAAAATTTTGCATTTCGAGTCAGAAATATTCTTACTATTTAACAAAAATATTTATATTATTGTCACTTCATCCATGTTGTTCTGGATTGTAATTTATTACAATTAAATGTATGTTATTTATAATAATAAATGTTTTACCTTTTCAGTATTTTGTATTTTGAGAAAAACATCGTCACTGTTTAACAAAAATATTTATATTCATTTTTATTGTTTTGCATCATCATTTAATACAACAATACATTTGTAATACCTTTTGCACTTTTTATTATTTTGTTTTTTGAGTAAAAATACTGCCACCATGTTTAACATTACAAATAGTATTTATATTAATATGTTACTTCATATGTATTGTTTTGCATCGTAATTTAAAACAATAAAATGTTATTTATAATAATAAATGTTTTACCTTTTCAGTATTTTGTATTTTGAGAAAAACATCGTCACTGTTTAACAAAAATATTTATATTCATTTTTATTGTTTGGCATCATCATTTAATACAACAATACATTTGTAATACCTTTTGCACTTTTTATTATTTAGTTTTTTGAGTAAAAATACTGCCACCATGTTTAACATTACAAATAGTATTTATATTAATATGTTACTTCATATGTATTGTTTTGCATCGTAATTTAAAACAATAAAATGCATTTTTTGTGCTTTTCAATATTGTGTATTTTGATATTGTTGCACTATTTAATGAGAATATTTGTTACTTCGTAAATATATCATAATACTTAAGCTATTTATAATCATTCATAATTTAATGCAATTTAAAATTTTATATCGCATTTTTTGTGCTATTGCAGTAAAAATACTGCATTTAACATTACAAATAGTATTTCTATTAATATTACTTCATACATATTGTCAATAAAATACAACAATAACAATTTTGTTTCAAATTCTAGGAGCCGTGTGTAAAATCCTTCGGATGTTAATTGTACAAGCAGGAAGCAGGTGGTTGGCTCGATCTTATTGCTAAGTCTGCGGTGTAATACTATAGTCTCCAGTGACCGTCATTAATCAAAATGTCATATGTGGCCATGAAGAAGTTTGTTAATTTTCTAATTTCAATGCAGATGTTTTTTTTTCTTTTGGAATGATCAGGATGATTAATTGGTTAATAGTAGGCGTGTATCCCCAAGTGGCTTCTTTATTTTGGCTGTTTATTTGGCTTTATTTTCGATGTTTACCGAACAGTACACCAGTATTTGGAGGTGCATTTACACATATGGTTTACTGACATTGTCATACACATTAATGGCTTTTTGGAAAGAGAAAAAGAAACTTGAACCATGCTTATTCTTGTTCTGAAAGAAATTCAGTATAGGCATCTAAACATCTAATCCAAAAGACATTAAACATAAAGCCAAATATGGCAGCATTCGTTCTAATGTAACGTAAGCCAAATTATGACGTATTTCCTTATTTCTACGTCTATATTTTAAGATGTGCCAACAAAGATCCCCTTCCCTTCAAGAGTTATGGGTCATCTCTTAAATTGGAACTGAAACTTGACAATGATACGTGAGCAATGGACCGTTTAAATGTTCAAGTAGTGAATTTATACTTTCACTTTCATAATAAATTTAATTTCCTGTAAAATCTCACATTAGGCCAAATATCAATTACAGTCAAGAGAGCGCAATTGACCTTAAGCCTAAGTACACTTGAGGGAAATTTAGTTTTTTTTATATATAAATTCTGTAAAAAAAAATTCTAGAAATGCATGTGAATTAGCAGCATTTGTGGCATAATGTCAATTATCACTGAAATGCTTTTGAAGAAATTGTGGGGGAAATATGGTTGCAGTAATGTTTCGAATTTGTGTTAGGACTGCTGTTTTAAATGAATGAACGTGTAGTTATTTGTCACCAGTATATTTTCCAGTGCAAATGTCTAAAAATATCTCAAGATAGATGCAAAAATTTATCAAAATGAAATGAATTATCTGTTAAATATCAAATGTCTTCTTGGTCAAATCAACTTAATTCAAAGGAAAAAACAGAGGTTTCCTACTCCATCAACATATATTTATTGATTTTTTAAAGAATAAACTTCTAAAAAAACAAAACTACAGATCTTCATTTTGCATCTGAAGTAAATATATCCTGGTTTAAGAATATTTAAATATTTGTATTACAAAAATACAGACATTAATATGTAATACATTGGCTTTATGAATTTAAGACTTTCTACTCCAATTTAAGATGTTTTAAGGCCTTAATTAGTGGAAGAGCAAATTAAAACGTTTTAAGACCCATATTATGCCACAAATTACCTTGTATTTAACCCAAAACGTTCTGTATAATTAGAGAAGTCTGGAATGACAGAAACATCCTCAATTGTAAAGCTACAGAAAATCACATTTACTTTATTAAATTAACATACATGCAGGTCGCAAACATAAATCTGACCTCACACAGACCCTGGGTGTGAGGGAGTGCTGTCAAATTGTCTGAGGTGCTTTCCATGTGTTTCCATGAGTGTTTTTAGCATGAAGCAACAACACAATGACTCCTCCTGGAATCCCACCCAAAAATAAAATTAGCCAGGTTACCAAAAAATGGCCTAATCTTAGCATGACAAGTGGAAAAAAAGAAATGGGCGAAGTCTTTGACCAGATGTTCATCACTGATGAGGTAAAAACGGATACTACGCACTTATGCAGCGTAAAGTCTCTTTCAAGTCTTTATGATTGTGCACTCAGATTACTAATCATTTATTGGCCCCCCTGAGAAGACCTGCAAGAAATCTCCTTCATTATTCCAAGCCGGTTCGCTGGCAAACAGAGTCATATAGGCAGCAGTTCTGGTGGACTCTCGCCGTAGCAGTACTTTGCCTGCGGGTTCCTGTACGTGTTTTCATGTTGGACGCTCTGAAACAAGACAACAGCAAGTGTGATTTAAAACATGACATGGTCAACAGCTTTGATTGACTGGCATCAATGTGAAATACTTAAGTTTAAGCAGACTGATTTCATTTTTGAAGCCGAAACGTTCAGAGTGAATGATGCTCACCTGTGAGGAAGTACGACACTTGGCAAGACACAACTCGAAATGATCTTCCACAGCGGTGAAGAGGTTCTGGAGCCCTTCTGCTGCTCGGTTTAGAAAACGCTCCAAAAGAGGCTGCTGAGAGAGCGAGAGAGTTCATGTCAGAGGCGAGTTTCCAAAGAAAAAAAGTGGCCTAATTTTGTTTTCCAGTTAGGTGACACACTTTTTGTTGTTGTTGTTGTTGTCAGAATAGTGTCATCAACATAAAAATGCAACATTCATTTATAGCAGTGTTGTCAATCACAGACTTTTACAGATTTACATAATTTCAGCTGCACTCACGAATTTACATTCACTTGTGTCAAAGAGACTGGGCAAAAACGGCATCCATGGGAGAGTTCCAAGGCAAAAGTCATTGCTGACCAAAAAGAACACAAAGGCTTGTCTCACGTTTGCCCAAAAATATCTTGATTATTCCCAAGACTTTTAGGGAAAATATTCTGTGGACGGATGCGACAAAAGTTGAACTTTTTGGAAGGTGTGTGTCCCGTTCAGTGTTGGGGAGTAACTAGTTACATGTAACGGCGTTACGTAATTTAATTACAAAATAAATTTAACTAATCAGTTACAGTTACTAAAAATAAATGTGTAATTAAATTAGTTACTTGTGAAAATGTTAACGATTACAAAGGGGATTACATTTGAATATTTACACACATACAGATTTAATTGATTTCTTTCCTAAATTGCACTGACTACTTGGAGACATATGGCCCTATATAATTTCCGCGATGCGGAAAACACAGACTGGTTCGTAGAGTCCAGTCATAAAAACGGAATTCCTATAGCCTAACGCGGACGGAATAGGCCTATGCCACATTTTGGACGAATAAATCAAAAGTAGGTCAGTACACTTGAATAAAAACACGATATGGACTAGTGGCAGGGGGGCCCAAACTCAGTCCTGGAGGGCCGGTGTCCTGTAGAGTTTAGCTCAAACTTGCCTCAACACACCTGCCTTTAAGTTTCTACGTAGGGGTGTGCAATATATCGAAATGATTAAAATATCGCAAATGTACATATCACAATATGCATATCGCTACAGCTTGCAATATTTGGGGCCATGAACAAAAGACTAAGAGAAAATCACTCACTGCTCTTACCTAAATAACTTTTGTAGCTTAAATAAGAATCGGTGCATATTGAATTCAAAGAGTAAATACTACGCAGTGTTTTATTTTTCCTTTTTATTATTCAGTTCCTAAACTCATGTTAAAATGATTACACTAATGTTAAAATAAAATTTTTATGTAATGCTCGAGTAAAACACTACCGTTCACTTTCAGAAGTTATTGTAGGGGTGCTTTCTTATTAGAATCAGAATCAGAATGAGCTTTATTCACCACTTAAGTGTGCGCAAAC